GGGGAGCCCCAGGGCTGTGCGGCCGGCCGGCCTGCGGAAGTGTGCTGGGTTCGGGTTCAGCCAAGAGGGCCCACCTTCCTAAACTGCCTGCTTTCTCTCAAGCCCCGTCACTCTTACTCTATAAACGAAGAAAACAGCCCTGGCCGCCCCGGAACCGCTGTGAGAACCAAGCGCAACCCCAGGCACGAAAGCGCTTTGAAAACGATACACACAAAATCGTATTATTCGTTCAGCCTCCCCCGCGAGGCTGCCAGCGTGTCCCATTCCAACCCAAGCATCAACCAGCTGGTGTCTCTGCCTGCTGCCCCACGGACTCAGAGCTTTCTTAGCAGGAAAATAACGCCAACTAAAAACATCTCCATTTTCCAGCAGACCGTAGCTGGAATTCCAGGTACCCCCGATAAAGCTGAGAAGAAATGTGTGTGCTCGATAGAAGCGTGTGTGAGGCTCGTGGGTGAGCCTCCAAAAGGATGCATCCAGGCACCAAACAGACTGCAGGATGAGGGGGACGGCCGCCCCGTCCGCACCCAGCTGGCACAGAGGCGGGGGCAGCCTCTGCAGGTCCCCTCTGACCGACCCAACACGAGGGGCCGGGGGTACAGGCCAGCCCGTCCCGTCTACCAAGCCGCGCTCCCTGAAAGCCCCATACGCGCCTCTTTTTCTCGTTCCTGAGGCTCCTGGGGCACAGCCCTGCCTGACGCTGGCAAGCCTCAGAGGCAGCAGTTAATATTTTTTAAAGATGTGTAGCAGGACAGTTTTTAAAGTGAAAACAGTGAGCCTTCAGCCCACAGGAGCAAGCGCTTACTTTTTAAACTTCCCACTTCTCTTAGATAGGTCACAGGATCGAAGATAAGGCACCAAAACCCTACAGTAATTTCTAACCGGGAGGCACCACGGTATTGCCACGGCTCTGGAGCACCGAGCGGGGCCCTCCCTTCCCACAGCGCGTAAGGCAACCACGGAGCGCGGGAGGGAAGGAGAAGTACGAATCCTGTCACAGCAACCACTGACCCGGGATGCGGCTTGCTGCCCCCTGCCTCCTTCACCCTCAGCCACGAGCAGACAGAGGAAGGCTCTCACTGAGGGCCCGAGGGCGGGCTCCCAAGGCCACCCTCCCGCCTTGGGCGCACCTGCTGTGCTGTGCTCCTCCCGGCCGCGCACCCAGGCCTTCACCCGGCCTGCCGCCAGGGACCCTGCCACACAGCCTCACAGCCGTGTCTGCGGAATAAGAATGCAAATAAAGACGGCCCGTGACCTGAGGGCCCTTCCACTCAATGACTTACACGCATTTCTTCTGAGGCCAAAAGGGTTTAATCTGGTTCCAGGATGTCTCATGGCGGCTGCTCACCTGGTGTTGAATCAACCAAGAGAAGGGGCTCATTCATCCCTCACTGAGGGTCTCCTGCACGCAGGCCCGAGTGGAGTGGCTGATGGGCTGGGTTCTAGGGCCACGCTGCCTAGGTTCAAGTCCCGGCTCTGCCACTCATTCGTTGCTGAGCCTCAGTTTCCTTGTGTGGAAAATGCAGATGATGCTAAAACTACTAACCCTACCCCACAAGGTCGTCCTACAAAGACAAGCAGACCCGCTGGCCGAGAGCAAACCCTGGGCGAGGGAGTGTCGGCCCACACGCCAGGCGCCGCCACCGCTGCAGCCACGGAGGGCACTTCTCAGGTTCACCTCCCGAGGTCTCAGTTGATTCTGAGATTGTACAGAGCGTGCCTCTGGCTACAGAAGGATGGAGAAGGGAGACGCGAAATCTCAGGATGCAATCCACAGCGCTGTCCTGACTCTCAGGGTCCTCGGCAGTCCACCCCACGCCTCCCTCCAGACAGACTGCCTCCACACTCCCGACCCGGGTCATCCACGCTTTAGAACGAGCTCGAGGCCCCGAGCGCCCCGCTCTGCGCCAGACACTGCTCTTCCAGCTGCCGAGCCCAGTCCTTCCTCTTTCTAGATTCTGCCTGGTCTTCAAAACAGAGCTCGAGACCCAGGCCTCCACAGAGCCCCCCCTCAGCCGCTCTAACCCACCTCTGAGCCCTCTGGGGGCTTCTGTTTTACTCGGCGCTCACCATGCGTTGATTATTTTGTTACACGACTACATTTTACACGCCTAACTAAAGCACAGGCAACTCCAAAGAAGGACAAATCTCATGTCCCTTAGTAGACCCGAGTGACGAGCACTGTGCTTGCACGTGGCAGGGACGCAGCGAACAGGTGACTCACCTGCTGCTCCAACAGGGCGCACAGACGGCACACAGCAAACCCACGGTCATTCTCTGAAGACAAACGTGCTTCTGACCAACACTCCCTCACAGCGCAGAGACTGAAGCCAACCCTGCAGACCCAGACGAGGCAGGCTCGTGGCTGAACCTGCCTCTGGGCCGCGGTGTGGCCTCCGGGAAGGCACTCACACGGCCGTGCGGCAGTTTCCTCGTCTATCAACTGAGGACGAAGAACCTACACTGAAGAAGTGAAATGAGATAATACACACAGAGCACTTTGCACAGGGCCTGGCACAGTAAGTAATTAGTTATTCTGTAAGTTTTCATTGTTCAACTGTCTTCCTGAAGTTCAATTCATCCAGAATGCCCCAAAAAACCATTGTCCTAAAACTACGCCGAGCCTATACAGAACGCTGCCGGACATCAGTGTATATGGAACACGTCTCCCTCCGTCTGCATTCATTTGGCCCATTCGGTCGTCCAGAAAGCCACCTCTACCTCTGAGCCGTCGGTCAGCTGCCTCAGGTTGTTACAAAATCTGTCAGCCTGCTGCACCTGCAGTCTCCTGTGCGCCCCAGCAGGGCTCTGAGTGTGTGTATAGCACAGGAGAAACATCTGACCAAAGGCCTGAGAGAGGAGGGAGGGTCTCAGGCAAAGCTGCTCCACCGTCAGGTACATCAAGGGACCACAGAGCCGCCAGACTGCCACGTGCCCGTGAAGTGTCTTCAGCTGTGTCCTCCAGTCTGTCTCAGGCATCGCTGAAAGCAGGATACTCGGCCTCAGAGCCCCAGGCACAGCTACACGTCTGGTCACCAAACACCACATTCTCCATCAGGCCGTTTCTCTCTGTTTCTCTCTCCCTTTTTTTTTTCCGCTACTACTTTTCAATGAGATTTTAATTAAGATCAGTCAATGCACAAGCTAAAAGGCAAATAACCTTTCAATCATGATACAAAATGAAACTGCTGACAGAAAGAATGGGCAGTTCAATTCACACATCGGCATCACGAAAAAGAAAACTAGCAACTTTCTCTCAAGAAATTTGCAACAAGGAGGGCATTCTCTCTGTTTCCAATCTCACAAACTAATTTCTGCAAACTGGCTTTCACCCAGTCCGCGCCTGCATGTGACCCCTGGTCTGAGGCAGCCAGAGCCTCCGTGGTGGTCCGGCCCCCTCAGGGGGACACAGGTGAGGAGCGCGGATGGGAAGCCCGGCTCCCCCACTCCCTCGCTACGTGATGCTGTACGAGGAAGCTACGCTCCCCACATCTCGTTTCATCATCTGTGAAATGGGGAAAATATTCATCAAGCCCACCTCAGACTTGTGATTAAGTGAGAAAGAAGAATATCCTTATTCACTGTTACAGTCTAGAGCTGCCTGCCCAGCCCCTGCCTGCGTGCACACTCAATACACGGTAAGTATTATCACTCTCATGTCACCTGCATGTGCAGTTCAACAGCCAAAACCAGGAAGCTAATCATCTTTTAAGCCCATGTGTTTCTTGCTGCGGCCAGCCAATGACCAGAACTGGGCCAACAGATTAGTCCTGTATAGCTCACTACAGAAGAGACACAAAGCAAATTACAACAAAATAGAGCAAAAGAAGTTTCCGAATTCTTTAAGTAACCCTGACTGCCAGCACTAAATGTTGATGTGGAGGATCTGATACTCTTACTTAAGCAACAATGTTCCAACTAAATCATCTGCTTCCTCTCATCTCCATCCTCACACTCCCATGGCCTCTAGGAAGCACAGTGTAGTTCTGTAATCTTTGAAAAGCTACACATTAAAAAATCTAATAGGCAAAATTAAATATCTCCTAAGCAGCCTATACCAGGAGTGTTGCTACTATGTAAAAGATCTAATTTGGGGATAAAGAACAAAAAAGCGTTCTTGAAATTAGTACTTCGGACAAGGAAGCAAATGCAATCCGTGCATGAAACAAAATTCAGTGGGATGAAACATTAGCATGTTTGTCCCCTACCAACCTCAACACTGAAGGTCCGTTAGGTGTCTGCGTCACTGACACTAGAATGTCTAGCGCCAGTCTAGTAAAATATACCCAGGCAAACATGCTACGCATCTGTGCAGCAGTCAAATGTTTCATTTCCTTGAAGAGCAGAAGTACTCAAGTTTTACACAAAGATCACATGTCCTAAATTCCTCTAAACTGAAGCGGCTGAAGAAAAATATATCCAAAAGAACATATGTATAATGAACACTCAATTTATATTATGCAACTTACCTGCAGCTGCCAAACAGGAGCTCATCAGGGCAAACACGGCGATCACACAGGCAGAAGTCATTTTTATTTCTCCAAAAGGGTGTCCCATTCAGTCACCTCCGCCTGCAGCTCTCAGATCCTCAACAATCTTTGCAAATCAGAAGTGACCTTAAAATCCTTCTTTCCAACTTTCAAATTGCCTATAAAAACATAAACATTTTATGAAGAAAAGTTAATGTGGGAATTTCTTTGCATAAGTACACATTAAAGTGAAATGAAGAATTTCTAAAAAGTGTTAAGATAAATTTATCTCAAAAGATGCCAAGACAGCACTCAAGCAAAGGCGGGTGGGAGGGGGATAATAATTACCTAATAAAGATCTTTATAGCAAATACTTCTGCAAAGGCATGCTTGTTTTTGACATTTAAAATCTTTGGTTTTATATAAAATATTCAAGAAAACAGAAGAAAATCAAAGTACATCTATAATATAACATCATGAGTTATACTGGAGCACTAAAATAATCAACGACACTCAACACCATACACAAACTCCCTAGTGTCAGCAGGAAAACACAGACAACTCTGGTTACAAACTCAGTCTAATGTTACAGTAACAGGACTGTCACAGGGATCAAACTGAAATACATTTAGAATCAATCTAAAAAAATAAAGATTAAAAGGCAAGATTCTTATTTCAACTGTTTGCCAATCTGTTAACAGGTGAAAATGTCTCTCCCCGTCTCTCAACCCCAGCTGAGACTATCTGGTTACTTGACCAGAGGATCCAGAAGGTCCTTTCTAAGCCTTTCCTATCCAGAGCCTTGAATGATGAGTTTTGTGAGGGTTACTTAACTTGAATACCCTTCCTATGACCCTGAAGATCAGCCAACATGTATTTTCCAGCCTTGTCTCCCTAAGCCTGGCACAACCCACAGAAGTTGTTCAACTCAACAAACATTTATTTACTGAGCACCTACTATGTTTCAGGCATTGAGTAAGGACATGATTTCTCTTATCAGGAATAAAAGTTACCCAACAACTAGGTAGAAGCATAAAGACCCTGGCTGCTCTGAGCCCTGAGCAAGGCGGGACCACGGGTTCTCTAGGACCCACCTCAAACAGCTGGAGACTGCAGCCCTGTTAGAGATAGCACCCCCAGAACCAGCTCGCTACCCTCAGAGGCAAAGCCAGCTTGGGAACCTGCAGGTACAGTGCAGAAACGCCAAGTCAGTGGCAAAATGAGTGTCTAATTAAATGGTCTTGGTTCACTGCATCAAGTGTTAAGAGAAAGATATTTTAAATGGTTCCCTGCAGTAGTAACACTAATGGGCTTTGACAGGAGAGAAGCAGGTTGATTCGAGGAAAGTGACGGGAGGGAGAGGGAACCTTTTCACTGAATATCTATTTGGGTTTTACAAGTATTACCCACCCAGAAATAGTAACAATAAAGCTCTAATTTCAATTTTTTCAGATATGCTTTTAAACTATATTATTACATACACAGGAGGCACTGTGGTTCAATCTTGGTATGTGATAGCGATGAAAAGCCTAGGATGAGTAAAACACGGATTACGGCGGCAGTTAGAAGCCCCTAAGGGTAAGCCCACTCAGCCACCTGCCCAACGGGTGACGCTGGGGTTACTCCACCCATGACCCTATCCCGTAGCCTGTTGTGAGGAGTAAAGGAGTTAACGTATAGACATTGCTTAGAGCAGTGCCTGGCACATAATAAGCAATGAATAAATGTTAGCTATTGTCATCACATTATTGTCCATTCCTTTTGAGGTATATTTATATCAATAAAGTGGAGAAATTAGGGTGTGGTTATTTATATAATTCTTAGCTACTGGAAAATCAGTTTAATCTTTCGTTTAATTTTATTTTTTACTGAAGTGTAGTCGATTTACACTGTTAGTTTCAGGTGTGCAGCACAGCAATTCAACTATACATAGACATACATTTTTTATTCAGACTCTTTTACATTATATGTTATTACAAGAAACTGAATATAGTTCCCTGTGCTGTAACCAGTTTAATCTTTTGTTTACTGCAAAATAAGCATTACAACAGACACAACAAGGAGATAAGCTGAAGAGGGGAACCACTGAAGAACAAAATCGCCCGTCAGACTGAGGCACAAGTCATTCGGCACAACGGTCTCACCTTCAAAACTGGCTGAATTTTAGAGATTATTTTGGACACCGTGAAACTGACTTCAATCATCCCCTGAAGGCCGACGCTCCTGTCACCACAGTTCCACTGTCTCAGAAGTAACGGACGTCTCCCCTGTTAACCTAAAAAATCAGTGACAGCGAAGAGAATTTGTCCCTATTTTTCCCCCACAAAAGATTAGGTTTCCTGAATGGACTGATAAGGGAAATTCTCTCTAAAAGAAAACGCTATTTCAACCAACGCTGAGGGTGATTTTTATAAGCAAAGCCCGTGAGGAGAGCTCAGAAGAAGGCGGCTTCCCAGAGGACTTCCGGTGCGCACAGCCGCTCCGCCAGCACGAGGCTCCCGGAGCTGTTTAATGAGCTTGTATCGCCCCCGCCCACAGCGGCAGAGGGTCTGTGGGCCAGGCTCATTAATCCAGGGCTTAAACCAGGTCTGAATGAACCTGTGGAGAAGAACGGCCAATGGTTCTATTAAAAATATAGACTGCAAATTGCTGACGAGAATATTGGGCAATTATTAAAATGCAGCAATTACAGATAGAACAGAGCCAAGCTCAACAGGCTGACGCCCAAAGGCAAACCACAGCAAGTTTACGCCGGATCTCAAAACATCTCTGCGGAAGTCCAAGGCAAGTTGAAACTCACACACTGCTGCGTCTGACAAAGAGGGGGCTTTTCTTCTTTCAGCTTAAAGTCCCTCCATAATGTAACTTGTTCAGAAAGAAAATAAACTGCAGAGAGTTTTTGCCTAATCTTCCCAATGTGGTGACAGGATCCTAAGGCGAAAGAGAATAAAAGGGGAAGCGTGTCGTTCCATTCAGTGGAACTCCAGTTTTGGCCAAGACTTGCACACATCAGCACCTTAACACACGACTTAGGGATCAGCTCCCCAACTAGGAGGGCACAGGATGATCAAAGGCTTCAGAAAAGTTGCAGATCTGGAATAAAACTAGAGAAATACAGGCAAAACATGATCTTACATACGTCTCAGCAATGCTCTCCTAGGGCAGTCTACCCAAGAAATAGAAATAAAAGAAAAAACAAGCAAATGGGACCTAATTAAACCTACAAGCTTTTGCACAGCAAAGGAAACCATAAGCAAAACAAAACAACCACCTACAGAATGGGAGAAAATATTTGCAAAAGATGAAACCGACAAAGGCTTGATCTCCAGAATATATAAATAGCTCATGTGACTTAATAAGAAAAAAACAAACAACCCAATCCAAAAATGGGCAGAAGACCTAAATAAGCAATTCTCCAGTGAAGACAAACAAATGACCAAGAGGCACAGGAAAAAATGCTCAATATCACTAATTATCAGAGAAATGCAAATCAAAACTACAATGAGGTATCACCTCACACCAGTCAGAATGGTCATCATTCAAAAATCCACAAATGACAAATGCTGGAGAGGCTGTGGAGAAAAGGGGACCCTCCTGCACTGCTGGTGGGAATGCAGTTTGGTGCAGCTACTGTGGAAAACAGTATGGAGGTTCCTCAAAAGACTAGGAATAGACTTACCATATGACCCAGGAATCCCGCTCCTGGGCATGTATCCAGAAGGAACCCTACTTCAAAAAGACACTTGCACCCCAATGTTCATAGCAGCACTATTCACAATAACCAAGACATGGAAACAGCCTAAATGTCCATCACCAGGTGATTGGATAAAGAAGTTGTGCTATATTTATACAATGGAATACTATTCAGCTATAAAAATGACAACATAACGCCATCTGCCCCAACATGGATGCTCCTGGAGAACGTCATTCTAAGTGAAGTAAGCTAGAAAGAGAAAGAAAAATACCATATGAGATCGCTCATATGTGGAATCTAAAAAAAAAAAGAAGACAAATGAACTTAAATATAAAACAGAAACAAACTCACAGACACAGAATACAAACTTGTGGCTGCCAGGGATGAAGGGATGGGAAAGGACAGACTGGGAATTCAAGATTTGTAGCTACTGACAGGTATATACAGAATAGATGAACAAGTCCATACTGCATAGCACAGGGAAATGTATCCAAGACCTTGTGGTAGCTCACGGTGAAAAAGAATATGAAAATGAATGTATGTATATTCATGTATGACTGAAAAATTGTGCTGTACACCAGAAATTGACACCACATTGTAAACTGACTGTACCTCAATAAAAAAATACAGAAAACATGAGTTGATTTTGGCCATACGTGTATATAAACTATTGTTGCTGCTGTTGCAGACAGCAGAGTTAAACTTCTTCCTGCACAACTGACGCTACCTAAAAATCATCATGTGACCGTGTACAGTCCTTGTTTGTTCTTGTGCATTGAGAATAAACTGCAACTTTTAAAAACTTACAAAAAAAAAAAACCTAGGGAATTACAACGTCTTCTCCTTCTCTGAGGTTATACCACACTCAACTTGCAAGGCCCCAGGGCCCCCTCACCCCGGTCTTCTGACCTCACTGTGTCTCTTTAGACCTTAGGAGTTAAATGCTTCCTTTAGAAATATAAACAGGGTACTCTGAAATCTTGAAAGAACAATTTCAGTCCAATGTGTAACAGTCATTTTGTGCACATTTCAAAGTAATGTTGTCCATTCAAAGGGTACCAGAACTTTCAGTATCCACAAATAAACAAAATAATTCTGAGTGAGAGTTTAATGGATTAAAAAAAAGTGATGCTAATGCTTCTAATCTCCCCTGTGTCTCTTTCTGAGGCCATTAAACTGAGCGTGCTGCCCCGGACGCTCCGGTGATCCAACAGCACTCACGAGGACGCACGGGGACGCACGGGGAAATGCCGGGATGAGCTGACAACCCCTACCCAAACAAGTCTTGAGAACCATCACGGGTGAAGCTAATGTTCAGAAGGAATTGGCTGGGAACTGAACTCCCGGGGGCTGACCAGGATGTTTTTTAAAGAGGAGATCTTGCTCTATCTTAGAGAGAAAACGTGGCAAAATGAAGTCTGGCAAGAAGAGCCCACAAGAAAAATTACTAACTTCCTCTTAGAGATGGGTGACATACTGCGACTATTCAAAATCAGAACTTACA